GCGGCGGGCTGCCGGGGAATGCTCCTGCATGCCGTGAGCCGCTGCTGCGGGCGTGCATGGCGTGCACACTTTCGGAGGCGCAGGAGAAACGCAACACCGCGTAGCTCTTCCGACGATGCAGCGCCGGGCGAGTCCCGTCGTCTCCCGCCTTGCGGGGGGTTTGCCGGCTTAACACGCGTGCTTAATCCGTCGTAGATGCATGCCTACTTTGCCTTCCCACTGCGCAAAAAATGGGGAGTAACGAGTGAAAACGGGTTGGGGGCTGGCTAGTATTTATCGGGCCTAGAAGCAATGGTCAAGTAGTGTGAGAATTTATCAAGGATTTGGGTAAGGCGGCTCGTCGATTATAGGTGGGTGACGTATTGATAATGCTGCCCTTAACACCCCCTTTCCTCCGGAAGTATTCTTCGAGCGATCCCGGGGTGAGTGAAAGTATAGACCCTTTTCATGGCAAACACCACCAGGAGGTGTTCTAGTCTTTGACGTCCCAGAGAACTTCCGGTTCATAAAAAATATGAACAAAGCCCACCCTAACACCGCTGTTTAAAATGTCGATGAAACGTTTAAGCACCAATTCTCCAGGTGAACGCCGAAAGAACGAAGAGGCCCGAGGTATGTTAAATATTTTCGAATACTCTTGTAAACCAACTTGCCTCCTTCAAGACGTTAAATTGACCAGCAAAGGGCCCTCGTTAAATCTCCAACTTTGATGAGCGTGTAGCGTTTATGCTTTCTAGCACTGGCGACATAGGCAAGCTCGACAGACTTGCAAAGACGGAGCGACCGGAAGTTTCTTGGGACGCAGGAGGCAGTTCATGTTTGTAAAAAACAAAAGGGTCTATAGTGCGGTATAAACCTGGCCTCTCTATTGACGCACGTGCGCCATTTCGGAGCAGAAGTGAACGGGGGGAAAAGGTACTGTTCTAATGATAATTCACAGTCGGATGTCTGGAATCACAGAAATATAAAGAAGTACAAACAAAATTAATTCCATCACGCAGTCCACACATGTGTGTAGAAGCCAGTGCAAAGCAATTATCATTGAATGCGGTAAGTAGTTTTAACTTCAGAATCCGTTCCTTTGTTTGTTTTTACTAGCTATACCATTTGGCTACTCTAACCGTAGAGAAAGTGAGAGAAAGGGGGAGAGCAGTGCTTTTGGCGACGCCAGAGCGCCGAGCAGCTCTGATTGGAAGGATTAGAGTGTATAAGCAAAGGCCAGCTGCATTTGTCCCCCCCCCTTCCCAATCAGAGCGAACAGGAGCATAGTCCGCTCGTCGCGCACAGTTTCGCGTTCGAACGCCGTACGCCGGCATTCGAACGTCGGATACTGCACGAGGAGCAGACGGTGGTTTCGTTCGCCCTGATTGAAGGGAGACAGTGCAGGCAAAGTCAAATGTAGCTGGCCTTTGCGTCTACCCTGTAATCCTTCCAATCAGACCTCGACGCTCGGACGTCGCCTCAACCTTCCATCTCCTCCTCTTCTCAGTTTTTCTCCGAAGAGCACGCGATACGACGGATGCTTCGAGAGTCAAGCAACGAAAGAACTGCGTTTAATAACCACTGCATTCGATAAGGGGGAAACTCTGCTCCACCTGCGCATTCTTCACGCCGCTTTCCGAACGAGAGGCATATGTTAGGAAGTATACAAAATAACAACAACAAGTATATATACATATATTGAGGGGAAAAATAGAGATAGAGGGGGGTAAGCAGGCACGACATTTCGCTCCGCATTCCCGCGCAAGATGACCGGGGCAGCACACGTTCATTCATTCAGAAAATCCCTTCGTGCACGCACCCCCCCCCCCCCCCCCCCCTTTTTCCCGCACACACACATTTTCTCTTTCTTTCTACCCGCCCCTTTTCAGTTTGCCGCCCCGCAAGTGGCAGGCAGGTGACCGAAGAGCAGGTGTTAAATTCCTTTCGGATAACATTTAAATGCGGGGACTTTATCGAAAAAGAAACATAAATAAAAAATAGAAACTTGCCCTCTAAATTTCGCGCCAGTCTTTATCTTTTTTTTTTTTTTTTAACAACCAATTTGCCGCTCGTCTCTTTAACTGTGAGCATGTTTTTTTCTTCTTCCTGACGTTAAAAACTCGTGAGGTGCCAAAACCCACGGCGGATGGCGTCGTTCGCGAATTGCGTCCCTGATTGGTTGCCTCGAGCCTTTTCGTCGCCGCTATTTGCGCAGCAGCAATACAGAACAAAATAAAATGAGGCAGACGTCAGGAAGTAACACACACCTCTAGACACACCTCCACGTGGACGCAACTCCTGTACCACAACTATAAAAAAAAAAAAAAAAAAAAAAAAAAGAAAGTGGAAAAGGGGCATTGCTTAGTCGCAGTCGCAGTTTCATTACTGCGTTTTTGTCCGCGGCGAGTATGCCACCAGTTTTTTTCCAAGTCCATGAACATAAAAAAACGGTGGGAGAGGAGGACATGTATCCGTGTTGCACGGAGGGAACACCCCCGCATTCCTGCGCCTGTCCACAAGAGCGAGCGGATGCGTACGTCTATACGCAAGCTTGGGTCTGCGACGCGTACGTAAGCACATAGACGTGGTGCTGCCCCCTGGCGTCTCCCCCGGGAAACAAGGAAATGACCGACTGTGGATGCGCTTTGGGTTTCGATCGTGCACCAAAATGACTCAGGGGGCAGTTGAAATCGAGGGAGCAAAAAAAAAAAAAAAAGCACGTTTCCGCCCCTGAATTACCTCGCCTATTGTTGTGGAGGATCCCTTGCGTAAACGTCAAAACGTAGAGGAGGGGAAAAAAATAAAAGCGCGCGACGCCATTCTGGTAGTGGCGTATAGCGACGACAATGACTGGGATCCCACAAGAAAGAAAGTCGTGCGTGTTTCGCGAGAAGTATAGGTAACCAAAAGGAGCAGCTGGAATGTCGTGGAGATCGGTCCTAACAAAAGGGAAGGAAACGGACCTTCGGGTGTTGCGGCTTCGACGTTTGCCCTCCCAGAAAGGATGTATGGTTTTGGACGTTTAGGGCGACGTTTTGTCGGAGAATGCAAAATCGACATTCTCTAATCGTCGTGTTGTTGCGGACTTGGGGGAGGATTCCTATGCCGAGAGGATGGCATGATGGCCGAAAAAATTATAACAAAGAGCGCTGAACTTTTTTTTTTTTTTTTTCATGTTTAATTTTTGGGGGGAATTTTAGAGGCGTCAGCTGACTGATTCGGAATGCGGACGCTTTTTTTTTTTTTTTTTTTTAGTGGCACTCTTTCCTGCATGACAATAGGGTTGTGCGGGGAAGTTAACGTGCAGTACGAGAAACCTAAAACGTAAAATTCAGTCCTGTGTGTAGATTCCATTCAAGTAAATTCCGCGCATACTAATAGAGACGGTATTATCGTGTATGAAGTATATACATAAATAAGAATCAAAGTGATAGTCTGTTGCATAAAAAATTAACTGATTCTGGTAACCACCGCGAGCGCGTCTGGTGAAAAATAATTGAGGCCTTTCCGATGGCGACGAGCCCGCAGAGCATGAGTAACGCTCGAGTCCATCTTGCCGTTACCAAAGAAACTGGCTTTCTTAAAGGAGCTGTGCAACAATTTCAGGGCTTTGCTTAAATAATTGTGGAAGTTAATGCCTGACACTTCTGCAGAGAACTACAGAAAACAGATTTTGCCTGGATACCCTAGTTTTTATTTAAAAAAATGAAAAAGATCCAGGCTTTTGCCGCCTCTCAACTCGTGCATCGTCTTCCGGGTCACGTGCACAGTGACGTCACTTGAGTAGGCGCGGAGTTCCGGAAAAGTTCTCTCTTTAGAGCCATCAGCGAGCAGCGAGAACTCATCCGCTCGCGACCGCGTGACCACCCGTCCTTGCCCGTCCGGCGCTGTCCCCCTCCCGTTCCGGCTTCTGGCGGCTGTTCGCGGTTTTGTGGACCTAGGATAGATGGCGCCACTAAAACTCCGTATAATAAAAGTTTTGTCGATGATACCAGGGTTTTGACGCACTTATATATTGTTGGAACGACAAGATTTATAAAAACGTTACCTTTTATCGAGCAGGTATTCGCACAAGTTGCTATCTTTCTTACAACTACCCAAGTGACGTCACGCCGCTTGTTTCTCATGGCCTCCGCTCGTGGCTGCAGGTCGGGAAATATTCCAAGTTTTGCCTCGCTATTACGCGGCGGAATCGCAACATTTCGATGAAAGGAGGTGTGTTTTCTGCCATTTGTGACACAGTGAACAATATCAAAAGCAGAAAATGGCAATTCTTTCAACGTTAAAATCGTTGCACAGCTCCTTTAAGGTTGACGATGGACACCGAGCGCTGACGAACACGGAGACGACGAGGTCACCAGCAGAGGCGGCAGAACCCCTTCATCCCATAATCCTGCAATTCCCGTATGCCCCTCCCCCCTTTCTTTGCTCTTGGAAGCTTCCTTACAATCTACCTTTCAATCCTCTCGCCTCTCCCTCCCCCCTCCCCCTTCCCTCAGGCGTTTCCCCTTCCCTTCTTCCCACGGAACGGTCGGGCGCCGTGCTTGAAGTAGAAAATAAATGTACTAGTTGAAGTCTAAAGGTTGCCCCGTCTGTGTCGTCCGCTATGTGTCTCCCCTTTCCACCAACACGCTCAAATAGTACATGCCCTAAAAAGGTTAAACGATTTCCAAAAACTCCCGGAGAAATGACCGAGAAGAAAACTCCCTTTCTTCTCACGCCAAAAACAGCTGTTTATGTAGTCCCCGAACATTTCAACACACACTGAACCCACCTCTCTCTTTCTCAGACAGAATAAACAGCCGCAATGGTCCTTCCCCGACCTTACCAAACCGTCAGTTCACGATCAAACCGTAACCCCCTCCCTCGCCCAAGTATCTAACCCACCGAAAAGAACAAAGTCGCGCGCAAAGCTCAGGCGACCTTTAGCCGAATACCTTCCCATAACAGGGCCCCAGGAACCGAGAAATCACCTGGTCGTATGGAAAACACCCCAAAAGGATTAAAATGATTCAAAGATGGTCGAGCGAGTGAGAACTGGACCCATATGTGTGCCATAACAAACTAGAAAAAAAAAAACAGTAAAACTTATTGCTACATTTTTAAATCGCGTGATGTATTTTGGAGTGACGTAGCAATGCTGAGAACACCTAAGCACTTGTTACGAGTTGTGAATGTGAAAGCATGAATGTCGTTCTTCCGCTCCCTTAGTTCGTCTGCGGTTTACTGGCGTCGACGGCCACGTTTCGTATACTGCCGAGGTGGCGGCCGCCGACGAAATAGATGCCTCAGGCACCGCCATGTTCCTCGGCGCCGAGAGGAGCAGAACCCATGGGGATTTGGAGTACAATGCCCATCCCTGCCCGTTTCAATCTGGATGTGCAAGGTATATACCTGCGTGCGATCGTGTGTCACTACGGCGTGATGCACCTTCCAGACTCCAAGATAGCAGTGGTACTGCCCTCAAATTTATCATCTACAGCGTGTAACAATATCGCCATCCTCTGGCAGACTAAAGCCTGATTCACATGGTGCGATTTTACTCGTGATTTTGCAGTTGCAACGTCGCAGCAAACCGCACGTCTTGTGAATCGGTTCGTGGATGCCGCACAGTATGGCCGTTCGGCCAGGTTCGCTGCCGTTACCATCGATCACCAGGGTTCGATCCTCAATTCCGCATCCTTCAAAGAGTCTACTCCTTCGAGGGCCGAACAGGCGGCCATAGCTCTCGCCCTCCTGGACAATAGTAGATCGCACATCTACACAGACTCTAGATCGGCGGTTCGGGCTTTTGCTTCAAACTCCATTTCCGACGAAGCCTCTAAAATTCTTGGCAATAAGATTATCTCCCCGCACACCATTACTTGGTTTCCGGCACATCTCGATTCTAAGATAGATTCCCTTACCAACCTCAACGATACTGCTAACTCTCGGGCGCGCGCTCTAAAGCGCGAAACACATGTACGACGAAAACCTTCCGATCCGACGTGCGGACTGCCGGAATGACCTTGGGGGGAGAGGGTTTTCGTAGCATCGGAGAGCGTTGAAAACCCTCGCCTCCGACCGTCGTATTGCGCGGTCGGACGTCGGATCGGTCGGTTTCGTCGTAGATGTGTTTCGCGCTTAACCCTCCGCGCCGGGAAGGACGCCGATCTGCAGGGTGGCTACGTGGAACTTAAAGACATCTTATTCACCTTTAACGAAGTCACCACGCACTATCGAATGGGCAGGCGGACTTTTCCGCCCCCGCACGGTAAACTCTCCAGGTCTCAGGCAATCACATTAAGAATGTTGCAGACTAGATCATATCCCAGTTTAGCTTTCTTCAGCATTATTGCTCCGGATACCTTCAAGTCTACCTGCCCGGACTGCGGGTCGGTCAGCAGCTTCGATCACATGCTCTGGCGGTGCCCCTCGTTACGGGGGCCCAATCAAGTCACACAGGAGGAGTGGAGCTCTGCCATCACGAGTTCCGAGCTTCTCCCACAACTCCGGGCTGTCCAAAGAGCCCACGATGCGGCGGTGAGGCTAGGCCTCCCCGTCCCTACGTGGGAGCGGCCCGCGGTGCTGCCCTAAGGGCAGCACCGCGGGCCGCTCCCACGTAGGGACCTCAATAAAGTTCTTTGTCTGTCTTGTGAATCGGGCCTAATTAACCACAGGTTGCGTAAACACATGGCCATAATATATTTTTGTCGCCCCCCGTGTGTGTGTGTGTGTGTGTGTGTGTGTGTGTGTGTGTGTGTGTGTGTGCGTGTGTGCGTGTGTGTGTGTGTGTGTGTGTGTGTGTGTGTGTGTGTGTGTGTGTGGAGAAAGCAAATCAAGCAACAAGAAAAATTGACTTCACCACTGCGCTCTTTGCTGAGCTGTTTGTTTTGGCCCTCCGAAAAATGAAAGAATCAAACCAGCGTATTACGTTACTATTTTATTCTGGCTTTGCTGCTTCGTGCTGTTTCTTGTTAACCCTCGAACCTAATGACGCTATTAATACCTTATACGCCGTGAGAGACCTATGCGCATGCATTGCACACACATGCATAACAGCGAACCCCAAAAGTGGTTCACTTATGCGCACGAGAAGTGCGTTGCTAGAAACACGTTGGCTTCTAAACCTAGAACTTAATTCGCGCCCATGTACTCCGTAACACTGCATCACTATATGGAGCCCCAGATCGCGTACTCTGCACGACCGAAGTGAGCCATACCGTGAGAACCTCTCCAACAAACAAATCCCTGGCGACGAAAAAAAAACAAAAAAAAATAACTTCCTTGGCGGTTTGGTTTGTTTCTCACGTACCCAAATTCCGAACGGTGTCGTCGCCCACCGCACCCGAAAATGATTTGACCGCCCCCAGGAGGTCATGCTAGAAGTGGCGTGTTCGCTGTAGGAAATGGATTCCGCATCGAGTTGCCGAGTGGCCGGCGTCGCTTTCGTTGACCCGCCTCATCAACTCAGTGAGCCGGTCGAAACAAACGGGTCCGCGGCATGAACCGAGGCTGCTATAGTTGGCCCATCTCCAAAGGAAAAAAAAAATAAAAAATTGGGGTCGCGCCAAGCGTGAGAACAGAAGACGTCGGTAAACGGGTGCTGCTGCATGGCGTGCGGGGGAGTACGTGGGAAATATCCTAGCCCTCGATGAGTTTCGTAGCTGACGGCGTAGTTGCATCGCGGCGGGTCGCTGCATAAAACGCCCCTGAAGAAGCGTAGTTTTTCTTTCTTTTCTCTCTCTTCCTCCTTCGCTCGTCCGGGGTGGATCATCAAACGGAACCGCGAGAGTCACGTTTTGGGCGCCGTCATTCATAGTGCCGAGACTCGCCGAGAGATGGCGCAACGTGCCTGGCTCTGGCGCGAGGTTTCGAAGTTCGTATCGAGCTCTATCAACGACCGGGAGGTCTGGATAAACAAAAGCAGAGTACAAAATACACGGCGAGACGATTAATCGTGACAATTAATCGTATCTTCTTCGGCTCGAAGGGTGACCTAAGGTAAAACGTGTTACAGTGTGGTAAGGCGATATGATTCTTTGAAGTGCGGAGAAAGCGCTCCGTTGCGAAATACCTCGCCATCGTAGCTACTTCAATTTTCTCAAAATCCGTTAAAGAAATGGGTTTCTCCCGTACGACGAGCGTGATGAGGGATGGAAGATGAGCAATGCGAGCGGTCAGATAACCTCGCTATTGGCAAATTAGCTTTAAAGGCACCGCTAACACATACAGATGGACAGCGTGCGGACACAGTCTGAGTCGGGTTTCTGCCTTGTGTGACCGTCGCATTGGTCATGCAACAACTGTCTGCCGACGTGTATGTGTGGAGAAAACCCGCTTCATTCGAATATATGCTTGAGGCGTGTTTGCAGACAATTCAGCCATCATGTCTGCAGCAAACGCCGTGTCTCTTGTGCGATGTGCAAAAACAGGGTGACTGCAACTTGAAAAAGACGGCCGATTTCTGATTTTTGTGGTTATATTGTATGCAAGGAGTCCTCTTCTCTCGCATGTGGGAATTACAGATGAGCTGGTAGTCGTTGGAGTGTTGGCAACCGCTACAGTGCGAAACATTAAAGAGGACGAAACGACGGGAAACCCCTATAGCCTGGTAACGGCTATGAAATGCCTAATCCAAAAATCAGGCCTGACATTTGTTCTAAATATGCATGGGCACTACAGAAAACAAAACGGGCCCCCTGTTATAGTTCAGAATTTCCACGCCTCCAAGTTAGAATATCCTACGTAGACCAGGCCATTCAGAGTATATATATACATATATACCCACCAGCTCTCTCTAACGCTGACAAGTAGCATCTGTTTTAATGGGATCTGTCGTGGCTAGCAGCCTACTAGCCCTTAGGATAAGTTGGGGTGAAATGAGACGCGGGGCAAAATGCGGCAGTTTGCGTTTAGCGCCATCCATCTCCTAGACAAGCAACCGGAGTACGTTCAAACTTCACATAGAGGTGTCGTGACCTGTACAGTTGGCATGTGTAAAAATTGAGAGAGATCGGCGAGCGTGCTCTGGAGAAAATAAATGCGGAGTTGAGGTTGGCATGCGAGGCACAAAATTCAACACGAGGTTTCATCAAATTTCGAGACGTGCCAACCGGTTGGGACCGACTATTCTGCCCAGGTAAGCTTTACTTTTATTCGTACGCTGTTTCGACTCCATGCTGACCAAATGTGAGCAATCTTTGGTTGTGTTTTTCACCGAAACAATTAGTTACGTAACAGGATACGGGTGGGGCAAAACTCGACAATCTGGCATTCCATGACGCGCACGTCAATAACGCACGAGTCTCCTGACTCCTCCTGAGCCATATTCTTTTTCTCCCGGTGTCTAGAAAGTCCAAACGTATAAAAAAAAAAAACCGAAAAAAGGGGATTTGCGGCTTGAAACTGACATGACTAAAGCTCTTAAAAGTGTCAAGCAACAGCGTCACACCGTTCACACTGCTGCCACACTTTATGGGGTACCAAAGAATGCATGCGCTTTAAAGGTGAATGTGAAGAGCAGCGGCTCTCCAAAAAGGACTGGGCTACAGAAGTGCGTTATTTCTGACGCTTCAAGTTTCATGAACATTTCTTTCGTACCTAACGTAGGACAGGAAAAGACAACAAGCAGGTCGGAGAGCAGCACCGTCCGAACGTCATATCCCCACAAGCGAAAAATGACGTTGGCGAAAGCAACCAAAAACCGGCGTTCCACCGCATCCCCTCCCCCCCCCCCCCCCCACCCCCCCAAAAAAAAAAGAAAAAAAAAAAGTGAAATTAAAGAGGAAGTTTTTAGTGATCTCCCAAAGATGCGCGCCGTGTTTGAGCGTTCTGCAGAACGTGCGATGCACACCACAATAGACAGGCGGTGTCTGGTATGCAAAGAACTTAGGAAGCAAGCAGCCCCTGATTCAGTGGGGATCGAGTGCATGGAATGCAAGGGGTGGGCTCATGAAGAGTTGGTTGGAGCTTACACATTGCGTTTCAAATGTTTAAATGTTTTATTGCAAAAAACTGAACGTATTTCCGGTTTTTAAAGTGTGTTTTATTGTACCCCACTACGTTGTCTCATCTTGTCCCACGGGGCGGGGCAAAATGGTACCTTGTTTTTGATTAATGTTTTGATTACGTTTTGATTAATGTTTTGTTTGCTCCAGTTGAGTAATATTTACTGAACATAGAGTCAAGAGGTCTAGGAATACCTCCACTTCTTTTTTCTTTTTTTAAGTATTGAAGACCAAAATAAAAATTACCATCGAAATAAAAAAAAAAAAAAAAACTTTGTCTGGTTTTGCTCTAGTTTATTCTACAAAATGCCATATCTAAGTTCTGACACGTCAATTTTGACTTAAATGGACCCCTACTATACGCGGATAAGATTTGGCGGATGCCAATCATGGTTTCAATCAAACAACTGCATTCTAAAAAAAAAAAAAAAAAAACGGGTGCGATTGGCTTTTCAACCATGTTGGAGAACCAATCGCTACTATCTACAGAGGCAAGTTGGCCAATGACAAGACAAAATTTGTTTAGGTGACCTAAAAAAAAAAAAAAATCAAGTTCAAAATCAAGCTCAAAAGAATCCCGTTGACTAAACTCCTCTCCCGGCCAGCCGCATGATGACCATACCAGAACGAGCCTATTTTTAACTTTAAATGCGGAGAAACTTGGTTAGGGGGAAAGAAAACAACGACACGGCGACGGCTCGTATATAGACACACCTAGGGGCGTCGTACGATTCTGTGTCGCTTAACCCAGAAATAGAATATTCGCCCGGCGAGGGTCGTGGGAGCTGGAGACGTTCCACTGACCTTGCGGGAACTCTCCCCGTCGACGTGCGGTCGGACAAATCAGGGACGCGGTTGCGTGGGCGTACGCGCCGTATCCCTTCCGAGGCGAATACAAAGGCTTCTCGGAAACAGACGATGACCAATTGTTTTAAAGGGCGCGCACGAAGTGGTACAAAGGGGAGAAGCCATATAATCAACGCGGTGCGCCGAAGGCTGTCTTTTGTGTACACACGCGGCGTCGGTGCAGATCGCTTCGATTGTGGCCGCAAAGGGGCTTTCGCTCGTCCCCTATTCGCTGGACGCCGCTGAAACGATCGCCGTTATGGAGCTTAATTACACTACACTCGCGGGTGAATGCATCGTTCTAGTGGCACGTTAGATTGGTGTTGTTTAATGTGAACCGGGATGTCAAGGTGCTTCGGGCCCGCAGAAACGATACAGACATTTTCTTTTTCTTAAAGGTGTGTTTTTTTTTGGTGATGTGGTTTGCTTTTCTGAAGACTAGATTTTTTTGCATCATCATAAGCACAAGAGGTTAGTGGCCCTTCTTTCTTGAATGATACTGTTTTAATACGTCTCAGCTTCCAAATTTGTTGAATGTGACAAATTTTTTTTTGTTTCCATAAACTTGACAGCGCCTACCCCCGCCATCTTTTCGCGATTCAAGCGAACTATAAAGGGCGCGCGAGTCAGTCAAAATGGCGGACGAAAGCAGGTCGTTTTCGCTGTTCAGCACGCGGACCACCATAAATTTTTGCACTGCAGCGTAGAATCGGTGTTACATATGAAAGCAAAGTGATTTTC